AATAAAGCCTGTTACTGTAGACCACCAGTTTTAGCTGATGGCAGCACCTGAACTTATAAGCTAACCATAATCAATCCTGAATACTGTTTGGATGGGAGACCACCAGGACATACTTGGAACTTTAGAAAATGAAATTGAAAAACATTCTGAAATAAGGCTATGGCAAAACCCTCTCAATGCTGCTATGAATGTTAAGGGAATATGTGTCCATAAAAACATCAGGAGCCAAGCTACGTTTGAAGGAGACTTTACTAATGTGGATTATAGAATTTTTACATTTAAGGTTTACATTTAAATTAAATTCTAATATCTCCAATTAAAAATGCTGAATAGAGTTGCTCAAAGGAAAAGAATTCATAATCAGCTTTCCTAACTCTTTATTCTTACTCTTCGAAGAAGTCCCACTACATTTATTGCCATTTGATGTATTCCTAAATGTATCATTGAGAAAGTGGATGAAAAGGGAGAATCCAAAAGGAATACTTAAGACTCAACTATAATATAGGGAATGCTTGTCACAATTCTCCAAAACAAAATATCTGTATTGTTCAAAGCCCTTCTAAGTCCTGAGTGGTTCTTATAAATCCCACATCAAGTTAGGTACAATTAAGGCAATGAACTACCATAGCAGTAAACAAGATGTTCAGCATCTTATAATTTAGCTGTTTAGGGAAAGTACATTGAAATAACAATCATTATTATTATGAATACTCACCTGGAACGATTAGCTCAATTTCCTCTGACATAGAAGTTCCCAATTCATTGGATGCATAGCAGCGATATTTTCCTTGGAAAAGGGATATGTTCCCACGATTTTTAACTACAAACGTTCCTGAATTATTAAATGTAGTTATCCGTGAGTCATCCAACAGACTAAATGGTTTCCCATCTTTTGTCCAGTTAAACCTAAAATGACATTAAATAGCATTAAATAATTTTGAAACAGTTATAATGTATCAATATTTTATAAATTAAATACCAGAAATCTTAATATTTTTGTCTTGCCCCTTCTCATCTATGCATGAATAAATCAGAATGACTACATATTAGATATATTTTATATAATACATTCTGATAAAATCAACTGAAATATAATATTGCATTCTATATTGGGCCACTCAAAATCACAAGTTAAAGGATAAATATCTCAGTAAATCTTCAATGTATGTGTTGAGAGGCAAATATTACATAAAATACAATAATTAGAACTGTTCCTAAGAATGTAGAAGATCTGATCTAATGCTTATCTAGAGACTGCATAGTGTAATCATTATTACTGAAGAATTAGTTATTAGTCTTCATAAGCTTTCCTTCAGTGTCCTTGGATGACCATGTGAAATATAGAAGTGCTGTTGTTTGCCTATGCAACATTTCAATGTACAAATCCAGGTGTCAGAATAGAGCTGGAAGGAACCATGGAGGTCATCTAGTCCAACCCCCTCCTCAAGTAGGAGACCCTATATCATTTCAGACAAGTGGCTGTCTAGTCTCTTCTTAAAAACCTTTATAGGGAGTGAAGAACTATCAAGCTTGTTTATACTTGTGATGAAGATTGGAAGTTACTTCTTTATATATTTCTTTTTTTCTTTGTCTCACTCATCCTTTTTTCTCTTTTTTATTTGTTCCCTTTGTTGCTTTTTTTCTCCTTCCCTTCCCTGAGTTTAGTTTTCATAATTTTGTATTACTCTAATTAAAATCTTTAGCTAAAAAGTGCTGCCTATGAAAGCTTTGATCTTAAATCTTGCCAGTTTGATCTGGATAGCCAAAGAGTCTGCATTCAGTAGCCTAGAAAATGTGATAAGTTCAAAATATATAATCCTTTCATGGTTTTAATAACATGTACATATCAAAATAAGCATGTTTATATTTATGTATGGACTGGATATACAAGCAAAGTCATGCAAAAGACATATAAATCTCCTTCTAGATGTTGCATATTTCATGTATTTTGCCAGGATGTATAGTATAAATCATGCCTTGCATTATCCAACAGTTCTGTTTCAAATAGAAGATACTGGGCTATCTTTGAAGCTATACACATGTGAATTGGTAGACTAAAGAAACAAGAAATCTAGATATTCTCATCCTTGTCTAACTAAATTCTCTATTTTTCAAACTGCCTCTTCTCCTGTAATAACCTGCATTTCATGACCTCACTCTGTAATGACTTGTATTTCATGACAGGCCAAGTTCATTCTTGTTTTGGTAAAAGTGTCCTGAATGAATGGGGAACATAATGAATGGTCTAAATGGAGCACAATGGGATTATCACTGTTTTTCCTTTCCCAAATGTATGTAGCTTCTGCACTTTGAGCTCTATGTGGAAATAATGTTCTATGGTAACAATCAAAAATTGTTTGGATTACAGGAACTTAATTACAATTTGATCGTTTCCAACTTAAAACTACAAACAGGACATGGTTAGTAGCAACTAGAAGATTAGCATGCTCTGCTTACACACTTCAATTCTGAGGTTAATCTGGATACTGTTAAGAATAGATTATGAAATTAAGACACTGAGCAAATCCTTTTAGGCTGATTTTATATTTTATTTGTGATTGGTGCCTTTGGGTCATCCAACAATACAGGCTAGTTGATTGGTCTAATGGTTAAGGCACTGGACTAGAAAGTGGAAGACCATGAGTTCTATTCCCATTCTAGGCATGAAAACTTGACTTTGGGCCAGTCATTCTCTCTCAGTCTAATTTATCGCACAGGGTTTTTGTTGAAGTATCTCTTAGGAGGAGGAAGGAGTATTAGGTATGTTTGCTGCTTTATTTATAAAAATAAAGGCAGGATATACATATAAATAAATGATTACAAGAGGGAGGGAGATAAACATTTTTTTTAAAGAAAACAATGAAAACCAAAGGTTAAAAAAAACACTAAAAGAGAAATAAATGTTCAGAAAGTCACAAATCAGTAAAGCTTACATTGGTTGGGGGTTTCCTTTAGCTTCACACTTGATTGAAAATTCCTCATCAAAAGGGAAAGCAACCTGATCTGTTGGCTGTGTTGTTATTGCTGGGAGCTGTCGCACTGAAATACACAAAGATAAAATACACCTGGAAGCCCTATTTGCTTATGTTTTCACTTTCTGTCATAGAGAAAACCAACAGGACATTCCCCCAAAATAAGAGCAGCTACTAAAAATATTCTCCACTGATCCAAAAGTGAGATTAGATAAGTAGCAATTATTTTACAGTGGAGTGAGGGTACTGCAGTGGGATGGAATTAAAACTAGGGACACTTTGATCCTGGAGAAGATGCTTGAAAATACCATAAATAACCAAGAAAACAAATTAATTCTGAGTTCCCACCAGAGATACAAATGTAGTTTGTATCTAGTTTAAATTAGCATATTTTGAGTACATTATGTCTAACACCTAGATCTTTTCAGAAATTCATACTGCTAGGAAAGAGGGAAAGAACAAGATAAACAGGACAAATAGCAGTATGATGAATGAACTCAGTTACAGCAGCAGTAGATGCTATAGATCTAAAAGACCCGGTTGGAGACAGCTTATCCTGAATAAAATCTATCTGAGTGGTTAGACACTCTATTGATTGTTCACTGGGCGACTTCAGGTCAGTCACTATCTCTCAGCCCAACTGAACTGACAAAGTTTTTGCTGTCAAATAAAATAACAGGAAACCACCATATATGCTGCTTCGAACTCCAATGGAAGGATGAGTATCTCTACAGTATCTACAATACATTGTTTACTTATCTAAACTTTCATTGTCTGGTAGAATCATTCTAAAGAAAAGTTTTCTTGGTGAACACCAGAATTTTGAGAAACTAAGGAACAATATAGTATATCCATGGAAAATATTGTAATAATATCTAAACTGCCTTCCAATAATCATCTATTATTACATGTGAACACATGCTCAAATGTCTTTATAATAGTGCTTCCAGAGCAAAATTGTAAAATCCAAATGACTTTAGTGAAAAGATACTAAAATCTCTATCTAGTGGTTATCCAGATTTGTGCTAATATATATATATATATATATATATATATATATATATATATATATATATATATATATATATATATATATATATATATATATATATATATATATATATATATATATATATCTGTCACTGTTTTAGTTTTAGTGTTATTAGAAATATATATATATATATATATATGTTTTCTGAGGTTTTCGCGGGCGTTTGTATGTAGGTCTTTAGTTATTCGGGTTTTCTCCCGCGTAGAATTAAGCAAAAAGCAAACCCAAACCCACACAGATGATGAGGCACGACCACAAACTAGAAGCCAGTCCACAGCTGCATCATCAGCCACTTTAAACCCCTCCAATCCATACATGAAGCAAACTGACACCCACCATAAAGATGTGACACGACCACGAACACGAAGCCAAACAACAGCAATGAAGCTCACCATCTCAAATCCCCCTGCNCTGCGATCACACACCACTCTTAGAAGCACGAAGCTGAAGACACCAGCCTGAAGATGACGAATGTGACTTCGTCGAAACGTCGCCAAGGTACTTTTAATTCTACGCGGGAGAAAACCCGAATAACTAAAGACCTACATACAAACACCCGCGAAAACCTCAGAAAACATATATATATATATATATATATATATATATATATTACAGTAAGATAGCACTTTATCTTTCAGGGAGGGGCACAGAAAAACAGATATTCATGGCAACCATTTCAGACATGAGTGGGTTGTGCTGCCCAACAGAGTTTGCATATCTTCTATTCACTTTGGTTTGGATTTCCTAGCAGTGTTATTCAAAAGGAATTTCACTGAAGGAAATGAGCTCAAGACTTACATCTTAACCTTTTGTAACAGAGAAAAAACAAAAAGAATAATGGAGACATTAATCTGAGAAATTAATTTTAACATTAATTGTGAGGTTAATAAATTTAGCCTTTCCATTTTCATTCAGTCTTATTACATATCTCTGCAACTGCAACTACAGTACATTCTCTGCTAAAATGCATTAATTATCAACTTCAGAGTTTAGTACTATGACTTTAAAACTTTGATCCTATGAAAGATGGATCCGTAGCTGGCTGACTGGCCATACTCAGGGTGTGGTCCTCAATGGAACCATATCTACATGGAGGGAAGTGTGTAGTGGGGTGCCCCAGGGCTCTGTTCTGGGCCCAGTGCTCTTCAACATCTTCATCAAGGACTTGGACGAGGGGATAGATGGGGAAATCATCAAATTTGCAGATGACACCAAGCTGGCAGGAATAGCCAACACTCCAGAAGACAGGCTTAAGATACAGAAGGATCTGGACACACTTGAACACTGGGCGCTATCTAACAAAATGAAATTCAATGGTGAAAAAAGTAAGGTTCTACATTTAGGCAAGAAAAACCAAATGTACAGGTATAGTATAGGGGGTACCTTGCTCAATAGTAGTAAATGAGAGAGGGACCTCGGAGTCCTAGTGGACAATCACTTAAATATGAGCCAGCAGTGTGCTGCAGCTGCCAAAAAGGCCAACACAGTGCTGGGCTGCATTAACAGAGGGATAGAATCAAGATCACGTGAAGTATTAATACCACTTTACAATGTCTTAGTAAGGCCACACTTGGAATACTGCATCCAGTTTTGGTCACTACGATGTAAAAAAGATGTTGAGACTCTAGAAAGAGTACAGAAAAAATGATCTGAAATGAAACTTGGACAAGGCAGAATTGTTGCTGATTCCAGGGGTTGGGCTCCGAGGCTCAGGTGATGTGCCTTTTCTGGATGGGAGTTCTAGTCTCCCTTAAGGAACAAGTTTGCATTCTGAGAATTCTCTTTAGTACTGGATAGCCACATAGTAACAATGGCAAGGGGCGCCCTTTATCAGCTTTTGCCAACAGAAGTTATGCTTCTGTTCGTAGGGTCTGTCCACATAGTCCTGGTGTCTATGACGCGTCGGCCAGTGATCTTAAGGTTGAATATTACAATGCTCTTTTAAATAAGTTATAATTTATACTTTCTGTATCCAGTTATTATGGAAGTTAACTTATCAGGTCTTCCTTATATTTGTCTTCCTATGGTCAGAGTTCAATCTCAGCTGAGCATCTATATGGTTAGAGCTTTAATAAACCAATGGCCTTTTTGGTTTTCAATTGCATGGTTTCATGATCCATATCCTAATTCCAGATGCCACCATACTTTGGATGGGGCTTCCTGTCCCTTTTTATTTATTTTATTTATTTATTTTATTTAATTACATTTATATCCCGCCCTTCTCCTTGCGGACTCAGGGCGGCTCTCTGGTACAGAAGGGAGAGCATTGAGTAAGCTGCCTTTGGGTGTGTGTGTGTGTGTGTGTGTGTATCACAATTACTTCTTATCAACATTAAAATTCTAGAGGAGAAAATACAGCTATTCTACTAATGCAGGGGTGTCAAACTTGCCACGTTACGTGACATGTCAGGACATATCATGACTTTTTCCCCATTGCTGGAACTGGGGTGGGCATGGTTTCAGCATGACGCATCCGGCCTATGGGCCGGCAGTTTGACACCCCTCTTCTAATGGCTCAGGTCAATCCTGGTAGTGTATTTTTGGATACAGGCAAAAAAGATTCATAACTAAGCATGTATGTCCTGTAATACAAGTCCTTGCTGTATGTACTTGAGTATAGACAAAGGGGGGGGGGGGAAGTGTTCCTTCATATTCAAAACCATATACCCTCAGAAGCAGAATGGATGGACTCACAACTATGCAAATCATCTATTTCATAGATTTACATTCTTTTATTATGCTGAAGAAATTAAAGTGTTGTGAATCTTCACATAACCAAACTATAAAAATGGAAATTGTACCCTGAAGAGTAATTGACCATAATAGAATTACCACTGTGTTATAAATTACAGGAATGAATATTAGAGAACTGGCTAGAAAGTCTTTAAACCTAGTGAACTGGAAAACTCACTGCTCAAAGAGAATGTGGTATCTTGCCATGCCATATGGTACCTCTTCATCTACACTGGCAATGGAACCAGGCTTTGCCTATCTTGTTTATAGCCAGATATGATTCATGTTTATTAAAGCCATTAAAACCTTCATTAACAAAAATTAAGAATTCAGATGAAAAAATGGGGTCAAAGCAAGGCCATGTAATTTGAGGAGATGATTCTAAATAATGGGTGATCTGGAATCCAAATTTGCAATTTATAAGAGAATTCAACCACCAGCTCTGAAAGGGTAAATCATTTACTGCGAACTCAATACTAAAATATATATATATATTTTTCCACAGCCATTAGAACTATGCAAATTCTGAACAAACACATCTCTATGAATGATTAAAGTAGCTAGACCAGGGGTCTTCAAACTTGGCCCTTTTATGACTTGTGGACTTCACCTCCCAGAATTCCTCAGCCAGTGTGCCTGGCTGAGGAATTCTGGGAGTTGAAGTCCACAAGTCATAAAAGGGCCAAGTTTGAAGACCCCTTAGCTAGAAGGTCCACAAATCTGGAAAAAAAATGGCTGCTTTAACAATTCAAAGCAAGGTGTTTCATACACTCTCCCACACATTAGAAAGCAAAATATTTCTGTATAATAGTCACATTCAGCTTTTCTGATGCTAGTGTTCTCTATGAAACATACTTCTTTGTACACAATTTTGTCCTCTCTGCCTAATAATGGCAGTCTACAGTCAAATTAGACAAAATAATTTCCTGCTACCATGGGAGGTCTAATGCTAAGACAGAAAATGGGCTGATAGGAAGTTGAAAAAAAGAATAGTATCCTACTTATAAAGGTACATTAATCTGCTCAGTGAAAACATCAGTGACTCTCTCTCTCAGCAGAACTTGGGAAAAGTGCAGCCAGCTGGGAACCATGAGGATCACACAAGAATTATTCTGACACCTTTTTCTTACTAAGATACTTTTAACTTTGATCCTTCACCACTGACTGCTTGATTTGGAATACTTTGATTTAGTCAATTTGACAATAAGCATATTCATAATAGCTGTTGGCTACATATAACAACAGATCTGAAGTATCTCATATTTTGGTTGACAATGACAATGTAATTATTAAGAATATGGAAGGAAGGAAGGAAGGAAGGAAGGAAGGAAGGAAGGAAGGAAGGAAGGAAGGAAGGAAGGAAGGAAGGAAGGAAGGAAGGAAGGCCTAATAAGCCGAGAAAGTATTAAGACTTATTTTTATCATCTGTCTGTACAAAAAAAATCATCTCAAAAGTTCTCATTGGAAAAACTTGTGAGATATCCAGTATATGACAAGCAATAGCAAGTTTTCACATAAAAATAGATGGGATTGGAACAAATCTCTAGAACTTCTACACATTTTGTCATTAATAAGATAAAATCGAGAAAGTGAGATGAATGTAATTTAGGCTGTAATTAAATTACAGCTGTTTTTATTAAGTTATGGTTTTATATATTGCAAGCAATTGCAGTCATGAATGGCAACTAAAATATATTATAATTAGATAAATAACAATATACGCAAAGCAACAAAAAATGTTTCATTAAATACTCTTGGCTGATATTTTTCTGGAATAAATATTTGAAGAAACATTGAATGATATTATTATTTATTGTCACCAATTTTTCTGATACTCACTTTGGGTTTCTCTATCCTGTCTGGATACCCAAAAAATTCTAGTGAACCTCCTGTCTAAATTTGGAAATCACAGCTTTAGTGACTGATTCATAAGACTCTTCAGTCAGCTATCCATGTGCTATATGTACCTTTTGATGGCTTTGCATAAAAAAAGAAAACAAAACTTGCAATTTCTGTCACACAGAAATTCTCAAAAGGCCACACTAGGAAAAAAAAAAATAAAGCTCAAAATGGAAACAACACATTGGTAAGATCTAATCTAATCACCAGTAGAAGAATATCAGCAAATAGCTATAACTTACCAGTAAGCGGGATTTCAATAGCTGCTGCCAAATTTAATACAAAGAGAATCAGGCACAGAGAAATCCCTTTTGTTTCTAATGGCATCTCCATCTCTCTTCTGTAAACATGAAGTCCAAACAGACTGAAAGATGCCTCACAATTTTCCTGGTTTGTACACTGAATACGGTCCGAGAGAGCAAAATCTGGAAATGAAATGGAGACAGTCACCAAAATATACTTTTAAGGCAACGGTTCAGCTGTAATTTTGTTAAAAAAATGAAGAAATAGGCAAGATTAATAAGCAGAAGCATAAATCACAGCAATATACACATTGTAATTTATTCTTTTACCCTCCTGTTCTCATATTCCGAAAGGGAGGGGGAAAAAACAAAATCAATTACCCCCAAACAAATCTAATTACTTTCCTTCTTGTATACAAGGGGAAAAATGGCTAACCTATTTGGCCCACTTCTAACCTTCTATTTTTTTTTCTTTTTAATAGAGATGTAGAGATTGAAAACCATTTAAAAAATAAGATATATATCATGACATTTATTTTATTTTTTAATACAGGCTAGAATAATTTTACTATTCCCCCAACATTCTAGCAGGAACACCTTAGAATTTTATTAACAATTAAACCACCTCTAGATAGAAAATGTGCTTTGGTACAAAGGCACATTTACAGATAACGTTGTCTACCACAGGTATCTTAAACTGAGAGTCAATAATTTAAGGTTGATACAAAGACACCATTACTTTTATAGCCATTGTAAAATACATTGGGAGAACAGAAGATGGAAAGTATAAAATGTAATAAAGAACCAAAAGTATATATATCATTTTGTCCGCAGCTCACTGACCAAGGTGGAAACTACTAGTTTGGCAACCAGCTGCTACACTGATGGAAATCAGGTGACCATTTATCTCAGAAGAAATGTTCTGGATTGCAATTTGTACTTCAGAAAAGCCAGCTATCTTCCAGTTATATCTGACAGAGCGAAGGCAGTCAGCCAGGAAGTGACACTTAGAAAACCCCAGAGAGACAATGAGAAACAGCTGGCTGACCAGCAGTTATTCAGAGGGTGTTACAGGCCATTGGTTTATAACTGGGTAGAAATTATGGAGATTTGGGAAGGGGGGGGTGTATTTGTTTACCCAATACAGGAATTAAAGCAGAGGGGCTTTGATGGAGATTTATATTCAGGGTTGCTCTCCTTTCCCCAGCCTCTCTTAAATAAAAACTGAAAATGAATAGAAGTTAAACTGGACACAGAGCATATTCAAACAATATTTCAATCCAAATTAATTACAACAACAAATGATTAGCTTTAGGAAGTGTTACATTTAAAATACCATCCAGTCTCAAAGCTAATGTGGTAGGCTTTGGTAGCTCTTGATATCTCCATAAACTCACAGCATATTGAAATATCCTATCACTAATGTAATCCGTCATGAATCAGGCATAAACAGCTGACATAACAACTGTTGTGTTAAGGCCATGTCAGCCATATTAAGTGAGGTGCTCTATCCCTACCTCATCCTGCCCTTCATTGTCTAATTCAGGGGTCTTCAAACTTGGCCCTTTTATGACTTGTGGACTTCAACTCCCAGAATTCCTCAGCCAGGCACGGTGGCTGAGGAATTCTGGGAATTGAAGTCCACAAGTCATAAAAGGGCCAGGTTTGAAGACCCCTGGTCTACTTTTTCCATGTACTGATGTATATGTTGCTGTTTTCTTGCTTCATCCTCCTTATACTGTCATTGGACTTTAGAGTTTCTGCCTACCCAGCCAAAAGTTAAAGGCACAAAAGGTGCACATTCTTAAATTACTGTTTCTTCTATCATAACCCATGTTTATAGCATTGAACAAGGACAGTACATTATTTTGACTAATCATTGCACATTTTGAAAGAAAACCTGAGGTAATCCTCATCTTGAAAACCACATTGAGTTCTAAGAGAAAAGATAGGATATGCTAATAGTAGTACTAATAATAATGCTCATATGAAATATTCAGAATTATATTTTAATGAATAGGGCTTAAATAACAATACAACAAGTTTCTTGAAAACCTTATCTCTAAACCTTTTCTTTCTCCTTCTCTTCCTTCTCCTCCTTCTCTTCTTCTGGATATGCTTTCCAAAACCTACTCTGTACTGGATTCACCATTGCTTCCAAAAGCTTTGAACACCCTCATTCATAGTGTCATACATAGTCTCTCCATTAGTCAATCTTCTATCATCTGTCTCTTTGTCTGTCTGTCTATCTATCTAATCTATCTACCTATCTATCTATCATCTTCCCCAAAAAAACTCATGATAAATTATATGCAAAGAATATTGTTCCAGGATTGTATTTTAACAATGATTGCCTTACTATTTATCATATCTGAAAATCACAGTGTTCTATCAAATGGCTTGTAGCTTTCTGTTTCCAATCACAGAAAGATATAGAAGACTTATGACATTTTATGTCTCTTACAAGCACAGTAAACATACCTTACTTCCCTTCACACCAGATTTACTTCAATCAAATAGCATTTTGATTTCTAAGAACCTATGCCCAGTGTTAGAACTATACAAGATCAAAGAAAATGTTAACTTCTTAGTGGTTCACCAAAATGATTTCCCTGCATTTTTCTCCAAGGTGAAAATGAATAGATGGAAAGTAAGTAGTTACAGGACTGACATCAGGGGTCAATATAGCAGGTCATGTAACAGAGTGATTTAACAGCAACAACATGGTTTGACAGCAGGAGGGCTTTCATTCTTGATAGAAGCAGGGGAAAGAGGGAGAATGTTCACTTTTACTGATAGTTCAAACTGTCAACTGAAAGCTGGGTAATAATTTTGTAACAGTCTGAAGCGGAAAGAGTAATACATTTTAAAATGTATTTAATTACATTTTTAGAAAGTTGGCCCATTTAAAATAGACAGAGATAGTGGAAATGTCCCTTAAATGATCCTACAATTGCTTCAAAAATGTGTCTTTTAGGGCTACTAAGATTATTTTTTTCTCTCTTAAAATCTGCTGGGATATGTGTTTCCCTGTTCTTCTACTACACTATACAGTGATTCCTATATTTATCTAGATGCTCAGTTTTCATTCTATGTTTTGGTCTTCTGCTCAATCAAGAAATTGTAGAGCAGGGGTGTCAAACTTGCAATGTCACATGACATCACGACATATTGCAACTTTTTTCCATTGCAGTGGGGTGGGTGCAGTTTCACCATGATGTGAATTATTCACTTCTCATTAGACCGCATTATTTTCTTTTGTTTTCTCAGATTCTCACACCTAAATGCCTTCGTATATTGTTCCCTCGTTGTTGTTATTGTTGTTGTTAGTTGCAAAGTCGTGTCTGACCCATCGCGACCCCATGGACAATGTTCCTCCAGGCCTCCTCCTCCCTCATTATCTATTTTAAAACAATTGCAAATCTTTTCTATTTTTTTTAAAAAAACTTTTCCATCTATAGGGAAGCTCTGGTGCTATGCTAATCAAAGCAATAGGGAACAGGTTTTTCTTTTTTTTTCCCTATGTTCCTCTGTAGATTCATAGAAACTTTAAAACAAGGAAGAACTGATGGTTCAGTTTTGTAGGACAACATAGTAATGATCCCATATTACTATATAACTAAGATTAAAAATAAAATAAAGGGGAGTGAATGTTTCCAGTACTGTGGGCAGGGAGTAAGAAAACAGAGAAAATGTATTTCATGTGCTAGCTTTTTCAGAGCAGTCATTTCATGTGCACAAACCCATCTTATTTAAATAGTGCCTTGGTCTAAAATTGATCTGTTGGTCTAATAGCATTATGCATTTCATTACAATTTCACCTGAGGAGAAATTGAAAGGATATCCACTGGGAGATCTAAGGATGAATGGAGCATGAACTTCTAGGTTGAAGGCTAATCCATTGAATTCACAGGCCAACATTGGAACAACTGGATGATGATGGTGGTGATTTTTAAAGCAACTGCCAACAGCAGAACACATAGCTGCTTGGCAAATCAGGATTAAATAGCTGTCCAGGGAAGGGCCATGCCAGGCATTGCAGCCAATCAAAACTGGGACTGGAATGGAATGAAGAGAAACACTGGAGACCATCAACTCTGAATGGATTTAAATAGGTCAGGAAACAGCAGTTCTGAATGAAAGCCAGAAAACCCAGCTCATTTGCAATAGCTGGGAAGTAGAAAAGGATAATATCACCTGTTCCTAAATTGTGCATGATGGACCAAGCAGAAAGTGTGGATCTGCTCTCAGTCTTGCTACAGAATAAACTATAACAAGGAACCTGTTGTGTTAATGTAGGTCCATTGTCAGATTTATAATCCTAAAAAATTCAAACTCTGTAGGAAGCCTAAACTTATAAAAAAACATTTTCCACTGCGACTGTTTTTGCTGATATGAAGGGTGGTAAGACTCATACTAGGAAAGAATGAACTTGATGCGTTCTTCTTTTTGAATCTCATAGGGTCTTTAAATAATAAATGTATAATGCTAATAGACCAATAAACCAATTTTAGATCAGGGCAATATTTAAATAACAAGATGGGTTTGTCCACATGAAACAGCTGCTGTCTAGAAGCTACTATAAGATTTCCTGAGAGTATCTTCTCCTGTGTGTTCAGGTCATTAGGACAACATGGCTCATAAAATGGCTTGTACAATTTTCTCTATAGCACTATAAAAACCTTCCTTCCTTGTGCTTTTTCCGTCTCTGATGGTGTAACTATTGCTTAGGAACAGCTTGCAGTATAGAGGCAGCCACCATGGGGAACAATTTAAGATGTTCTGAACTCAACGTGTGGTGCCTGTTTGGGCATACTCACCCTGATTTCAGGTCTCTCAATATTCTGATATTTAGCCTGACTGCCAAACCTACTGAGAAGCCAGATGTCCTATCTAAAAATAACTCATCTAACTTACCTCTCTTGGTCAACAAAATTGGAGATCAGGTGTTGAAATGGATTTGAGTGCAGTATAATGGGTAGTTTTGTTTCTTACTATAATAATTAAGATCACTAAATCATAGGCCTGGGATACAGCTCTTTTTGCTATTGTTATCAATGGGGAAAATATTAATTTCACAGTTATAGTATTTTCTTGTAAAGACATAATTAGGTTGTACTTGACTAGAATTTCTCAGTGGCATTTGTAATTTTGCTACCATATTAAATT